AAGCCGCTCGTCGACGCCCTGCAGTTCAAAGACGTTACTCAGCACCACTCACCACACCCACCCAGCAACTAACCGCAGCTAGCAGACCGCTCACGAGTACTTCACCGCCCCCTCCGGCCCCAAGAGCATCAACAACGAAGACGACGCCGCAGAGTCGGTTCAACACTGCCTCCCCGCTCTCCGCCAACAACTCGCCCACCACGATGCCTTCCTCGTCGCGTGCTACAGCCAACACCCGCTCGTCCCTCTCCTCAAAGAAGAACCCGCCATAAGAGATACGAGGAAACCTGTCACGGGTATCTTCGAAGCCAGTGTTGGTGCCTCCCTGCAAGCTATCCACCCCGACGAGAAATTCGGCATAGTAAGCACGGGCAAAGTCTGGGAGACTATCCTCACGGATGCTACAATCGCCTTTTTGGGCACGGGCTCAGACGCGGGGAAACGGTTTGCAGGCGTGGAAACAACGGGGCTCAATGCGACGGATCTGCATGATGCGCCGGCGGAGGAGGTGAGGAAGAGGATGAAGGATGCGGTCAAGAGGTTGTTGGGCAAAGGGAAAGTGGGTGCGATTTGTCTGGGCTGCGCGGGTATGGCGGGGATGGATGAGATGGTTAGGGAGGCTTGTGTGGAGGAATTGGGGGAGCAGGAGGGAGGTAGGGTGAGGGTTGTTGATGGGGTTATGGCGGGGGTTGCGTGGTTGGATGGGGCTGTTAGGGCGGGGTTCTAGGATGAAAGTGTATTTGCATAGTAGATGTCTGTTTGTGAAGACCTTGGATATGCGCTACAGGTTTGTAGTAGCCTTGTCAAAAGGCAGCGGGTGGTTGCGACATCTCCAGCGCTGGTGCAGACCAAAGACGGGATGACGTTGGGTGGGTGGGGGAGGCGGAAGGGAGGTGGTGGAGGTCTCTTCCCTCTACTTAAGTGTGATGGATGAGTATAACGAAACGGAAGTCAAATTCAGATGGCATTGATTTAACTCTAGAGACCCAGAATGTTCTACATGAAGATGTACTGCTGTAGACTTTGTCCGAGTACGCTGTTCGACCTTGTTTACGCTTTTTTTTGTACGCCGGATAAATAGACGTTATCCTTGTGAGGCGTGATCTTTTTTTCGGACTTGAGATGCCTATGTGAATCTGGTAGTATGGGATTGTAGTGTTGTAGTAGCATGTGAAGCGACCGTTGGTAGTTGCGATGGCCGTTGCTGGTTGCTGGGTGCTAATCATAGGCGGGATGACGTACCCGGAGGCCCCACAAGTTCGGACCTTTAATCGTTCTAGCAATACTACCTCAACTGCATGCTCCACGCTTCACTCAAGCCTCGCCAACCACAAACCTCGCGGCCGCCATTTGTACTAATACTTATTCACACACGATCATGCAGTCGCTGCCGAACGAGTTGTTGGCTCAAGTCGCGTTGCATCTCGCAGACCAAGCCCCATCAATCACCAAATTCCACCACGAGCCGTCTTCGCAATTAACGAACTCTGATTCTATACCCCTGAAGACCCTCTCCCTAGTTTCATGGAGGTGGAGAAAGGTTGCGCTCCCCATTCTCTTCCAATACGCCCGTATAGCACTGGACAAGGAAGCACTATGGGTACCAATGGATGCGCGACTCGTTGATAGCATGCAAGGAGAGCTATCCAAGTTGAGCAACCACGAGTTCATGATCTACACCAAACTTCGCAGCAAGTTTAAGAGTACCTCTGGATCTGCTTTCGAGCCGGCTATGGACGACGTGCTCATCCAGTTGTGCCACATCCAGGATGGAGACGAACACCTTAAGGCGACACTGCGAGCTGCGTGGATCCCGCATCTTTCAACGGATTTCGACAAATTCACGCAGTTTGTCATGCAGAATGATTTGAAACGCCACATCAAGAGCTTGGTGGTGCATACAGATCAAGAATACAACCTGTGGCATGTATCCACCGCTCACGACCACATGCTGAGCTCAGTCACCGACATTTGGACAAAGACATTTTCCTGTCTAGACCCTACACGTATCGTTGTCGCTGCACCACCAAAAACCATGGCCGCACTGGTAGATTCTGCCGTGGGCACCAACGACAACTGGGCTTTCGAGATGAAGATGCACTACATCGAGCTCCTCCAGAAAGAACCTCCACCTACCAACAATCCAAATAGCGAACCCCGGTATTCCAGCTGCCAACTCCTGCGACAAAGACCCTGGCACCACCTCGGCTACAACGAAGGTTCCTCCATAACCGTATACAGCACCTACGAATTCCATCTCATGGTGCCGCCCCGCATCCTCGAACTCCTCCTCTACCGTATTGCCAGCTTTGCCAAGAAAACGGAATTCTGCCGCCACTTTACATCGTTTAGCTTCACCGCTGTCTTCCCCCTGCTATCAGGCCTCACGCCCGTACTGTGCGGCATGCACATGATTCCGTCCATCACACAAGCCACTTTCCAGCTCGCCCCTGGCCCCGAAAGCGACCTCCTCAGCGACGCGAGCAAGCGGCGCAAAGCTCAGTCGTCGGATTTCTGGTCCGAGTGGCGTATGGGATACAAGCAGATTGGTGAATTTGAGTTCTTTAGACAGGGGAAGATGGGGGGTGCGAAGAGTGAGTGTAGGACTTTGACGGAGATTGTGAGTAGGGATTGTTATACGGGACAGTTGAGTGATGAGGTTACGGAGGCTGTGGAGGGGGGTTTGAAGAAGGATGTGTTTGGGTGGAAGGGGGATGGGGTGGGGAGGTGGGTTAGGGATGTGGAGGAGGAGGAGGAGTTCGTACAAGAAGAGAATTGAACAGACCTGGATTCTACATCGACGGTAGGCTACTTACTTTGTGTGTTCTCATCTTGATTTAGGAGGCATACCTGTTTAGCCTATTTCTGGGTTGATGTGGAAGAGTAAATTGATACCAGTTTGAAGGATTCGTATATATAGAAGAGGTATGCATAGCATGTGCTGTGTAAGAGCTGTAGCATGAAATGCCGCATACATATTCACGCTACAGCTGAAGTCATAAGTACAACTCGAATTGGAGATACGGACATCTTCCTACACCCGCGTATGTCCATGTGTCTAATCAGCGAAGGCCTCGTCAGAATATTGACACGGCAGTCACATCACAACACCAACACTTCCATACCCACATCTCCCTGCCGCTCTTTATCAACTCTACTCCCCTACTCTCTCCCCTTTCTCTCCGCACTCTGTCTATAGCCCAACACCCCAACACTCAAAAACTCAATGATCGAACCCGTAATAGCAACCGCTCTCATACTCTCCATCCTCGCCCTCATCGCCTACTATCTCCAACCCCAACAACCACATCACCAACGCCACTACTATCATCAAGTAAGGCGAGCGCGTGTTATGGCTGATCCCCAGCGTCGTGGACGTGATGATGGTATGGAGCGAGGAGTGGAGATAAGGGGGATAGGAGAAGGGGAGGTGTATGAGCGGGAAAATGAAGAGGGGGAAGGTGGAGATGACGGTAGAGGGGAGGTAGCGATAGGAGGACTGGAGTTGGGGATGATCGGGAGGGATGTTGTAGAGAGTAGGTTGTGGTTGAAAAGGGGTGGGGATGTTGGGGATGAGAAGAGGCTGAGGGCGAAGGAGACTGGAGAGTGTCATGGGAGTAGGGCGGAGGGCGTGCATGCAGTAGTGAGTTTCAGCCCTGGAAGTTTATCGGCACAGGAGGAGGATGTGCATATGGCTCCTGGCTCACGCGGTTCATCCCCGCCAGTGATACGCATCACTACTCCCGACAGCGACATCACCTCTACCATCTTACTAGCGCACGACGCAGAGAAAGGAGTTGCCCCAGAGGCCTGCTATAGTAACACGCTTGATCAGCAGCGTAGACAACGTGTTCGATTTGACGAAGCGCTCAGGATGCACAGTTATGGTGGAAGTCAGTATGTGGGAAGGGTGGTGGACGAAGATGCTGAGAGAAGGGCAGTGATGAAGATGGAAAGGGAAGATGATTAAGCGAAAGTGTAGGGAGGGAGTGGTTGAAGAACGGAAATGAGGTCGATTCTGTGTATTTTGTGTGGGTGTATCGGTGCTGTGAAGGATCGAGCACCTCTTATGTATTGATCTCTCTTCCTGGATGTCTATCGGTCTGTACTTGGGAAACACTCTCGGTGATGCATGCGCGCATCTTTTCCAATGCCGTGAAGGTATATCTGCTCTTATCCTAGAGTGTCTGCACGTTAAATAATGCAGATGGTTTCTTCTTGGCTCTCCTCGAACCAGCCTCTCATCTCACTGTACCCTTCGTGTCCTTCGGACTCTACCACCCCCACTCGATAATAATTTTGCAATTCATCTGCAGGATAGAGCAACAAAGCCCGCAGAGTTGGCGCTTTTGCTCCATCCTGTTTCTCGATGCGGTAGAGAAGCATGGCCATGAGATGCTCCAGCTCTGTTTCTCTATCCTTGTGAAGCCAGTCCGTCATAGCGAAAATACTATTGTTGGTGCCTATGAGGAGGTCCAACCAACGATTTGACCACCGCCTTTCTTCGTTCTTCACTAACCAGTCCGGCAGTCGAGCCATTCTCCCGCGGATTCGAAGGAATCCTCCAGACACCTGTCCATACGGATCATCAGAACTAGTGATAGTGTTGGCATCCACTATAACTGACTCTTCAATCATTGCGCTTCCACGAATCATCGTCGACACACTTGGGCACGCTGCCCAGGACCAAGAAGGGGCAACGTAATTCCGTTCTCGAATATCCCGTATGTGAGCTTTAAGACCGCGCGAAAGCATAGAACCTGGACTGTACCAGCTCAATCCGTAGGGTAAATCACCCTCCCAAAGTCCGGCAAGGTATCGATCCTGCACCGCTTCGCCTATCATGCGGGCAAGTCCAGCAATAGCGGGAAGGCGGTCCTTGTCGAACGTCACCGATCGATGACCATATTGTCTAACTAACCGATCCCAATACTCGTAAAGTTCCCCAGGGGACATGTGCTTGTCCCTGAACCTGGTGATTATGGCCGAGACTCCTACTGTTAATTGAGACCTGCCACGGGGAGCTTCATCTCCTTCAGACCATCTGCTTCTAGCACAAGTGAAATGCATTCTCTGGCTTCCAAAAAGTAAGACACGAGTAGACATCTCCTTTTCCTGGAAGGTCCAGCATCTCTTGTTCCACTTGGATAATGCCAAGTCCCAGTCGTAATCTCCGCGGTTCATATACACACCCGTTCTTGATCGTAACCCGATCAGGTAAGAGCCCTTGGTGGCTTTTCGTATCGTTGATTGAAAGGGGACTCTCACCGCAGGGGCTCGGTTGAGGAAACTCTCGTGACATGAATCGGAGTTGAGGCTGCAGAAAGTGACAAATGCGTGGCGATATACTAGATCCATCTGGGAGGACTCGTGCAACCAGTCATCTTCATCGTCTTGCACGATGCAAAGAGCGTCTATCCAAAGATAGCGAAGGCCAATCGCCCTTGCAAGCAAGATAGCGTCTTTGGTAGTTGGCGTCATGAGTTCGCTAGGCAGACCCACAAACCTGTGCTCCAGAGACACCTTTTCGGTCTTGAATTGTGACTCGGCGTCTTTCTCACCACCCCAGCAGTAGCTCAAGGCAGCGTACTTTATTTGCTCGGAATTGCCGATGTTGGAGGACAAAACTAAGCGTGAGACATCGGATGTGTCATGGCCGACGTCTATGAGCCTGGTAGGCATGAAAGAGGTAGGAGTCTCAGGGTGGCATGTTGACGTGCAATGATCGAGCAATTGACGACTCTTCCGAATGGTCATAGGGTCTAAGTACGAACCATCTCGCGAGGGTTCGACTTTAAGCCACTCGCAACAGTCTTGGGACACCCTTTAGTACACGCGGCCTAAGATCTGATTCAATGATGCGACTTACTAGAATCTGCCTCGATAGGGAACATAGTCTGAAAAACAATGTTAAACCCAGCCAGAGTAATAGTCCCTTCTATCACCAGCCCCTCTATATCTTCACCGATCAGCGAAAGATACGCAACCAAACTCAGTAGACCATAGTCTATTGGATAGGTTTTCGCCTTTTCCGCGAGTGTTTCTTTTAGGGACTTGCGCAAAGCTCGACAGAATGCACAACCGAGCTGAGAAGAACGCAACAAATGAGGCATGTCAGGCAGATTCTCACCGAGCCTCCAATCAAGGCGGGCGAGTCGATAATCAGGTCGGTCAAAGGGGATTTCTCGCCCTGGCTGCCAATCTGTAGGACGCAATTCGATTTTGGACTCCGGGAAGGACAGGCGCGCAACACCATCTTCGCCCACAACTTCCTGGCCCCCGATGGCACCATCGTCGAAACTGAGAAGGCTGCAGCGCTCGCAGAGGGAGTTGCATTCCGGCGGACCGCTCATTGGTTCAGCCGCCCGTCCAGGACTCTACCAGAAGGCAGGGGTGTGATCAGAGGGTAGAGAGACAATGAAGGCGCAATAGGCCCTCTCGTTTGAAGATGATCTCACCAAACAATCGTTGGAAGCGAAGTGAAAGAGAGCTCAGCCGTGTTGCGATGAGGCAGGTGAGCGTTGTTTCCCAGTGTAGCCTGACCAGGCGGGCAGTGCAGGTGAGATGATGTCACGATCAGGCTGAACTTCTTTCCCAGCCAGTACATTCGGCAGGCACCGATCAGGACTACGAGCTAGAACAAATTGGGCACTCTGTGCAGCCCCAACATCATCTGTAAGAGTGCTTAAACGCCATAACTTCACCGAAGACGTCTAGGGTGTCACAGAGCAAAGGTTTTCGACCAGATATCGCTTACAGCCAATGCGATCGTAAAACTACAGCATGATGCCCTACTCTTGCGAGCAAACGCCAACAGGCTTTGTAAATAAAAGATACGTTGAACATACTGCGACAGTGATACAGGCGATCCGCGACGTTTACCGAGAGTGCGTTTCGACAAGGCGCTGAGGATGCATACCTAGGTACTCACAGTTGAAGTTAGTATCGGAGCAGAGTAGAGAAGTCGCCGAGTAAACAAACCAAGTGGAAAGAGGAGGGCGCGCTTAAGGAATATGAGTAAAGTTGATTCTATCTTGCATGGGTATATAAGTGTAAATGCCAAAAACATCGCCGTCCCCCGTTTGTCGTATCATATATCGTATAACCAGTGAGATCCCCGTTTACCGTCTCATGACCCATCATATCATGCGCATAACCCCCGAACAATCCAACCCCATAAATGCGACGAAGAACAAAAGCTGTAGAAGGACCACCTCAACACAGTCCTCACGTCACACACAACATCTCCTCCCACCCCACCGTCCACCTCACACTCCCCATAACCACAACCAACAACCCCAGTCCGGCCGCCACACTCGCACCCGCATAAAGATACGCACTCCTCCTCCTCTTCGCCGTATCAATCTCCACAATCCACGTGCTAACCGTCGTCAAACAGCCACAGAACCCATCTTGAATGCCTTGCAGAACCGCACAGCCCACCACACTACCTCCAACCAACCCCGTACTGCTGAGGGGCACGTGCTGGAGATCGTATGCCATACCCAGCACCGCAGTACCGAAGATATTGACGGTGAAGGTGCCGAGCGGGAAAGACGGCGCGATGGGATTGAGGAAGAGGGAGATGTAGTAGCGGAGGAGACAGCCTGCGGGGGCGAAGACGCATGCGAAGAGGGCTTGACTGCGCCATGTTGAGTAGGGAGGCAGACACACCATGATGATTGCGCCGAACCATACGCCCCAGCCAAGTATAACGAAAATGGGATCGCAGACCCGGCGGGTGAACCGGAAGGGTAGGCTGGGTGTGAAGCGGTCGAGTGCGAGAGCGAGGTGTGCGCCGATGTGTAAGGCGCAGTAACATGTCGCTATGGTTATCATGATGGTGGCTAGGATGGCCATGACGGAGTATCCGCCGTTTCGCGGGACTGTGGTGGTCACAGATGGTGTAGATGTACCCGCAGGATAGGGATGATTGATAGGACTTTTCAAGTCATTCGACAGCGCGAGGAAGATGTCGCGCATGAAACTCGAGAAACTGGTGAAGGAGCCGCAGAACCCTGTTGCCAGACCAATGTACATCGGTATTGTCTTCTTGATCTTTCCATGTCGCGCCTTGTGTTGCGAGTGTTCAATGTCGTTGGCGGGATAATCGGTTGGTTCGGGGAGTTTCTCTTCGCCATCATTACTATTACTGCGACTCCCCCATTCCGCGGCGAAGAGACGGCGGTCTTCGGATAGGAAGCCCATTATGAATGTGCCGGCGACATTGGCCCATAGCTCAGAGAAGATGACTGGCGCGCCGGGGTAAAATGTCAGGGCCTGTAGACCCAGACGAGCTAGCGTGCCCCATATGGAGAAGAAGATGAGGTAGGAGATGGTGTACAGCTCCGTGGCACACCTCGATACTTTTTGTTGCCCAGGGGTGCGCTTGGAGCTTAAGTAGTGCTCTGCGTCGGTGTGGTGATCGTCGTAGCGGTGGGTGCGGTCGTGGCCGTCTTCTTGAACGGGCGACATGCTGGGCAGGGCCGTAATGTCCAGCTGAGACCCTGATGCAGCACCGGGCGCTACTCGTCCGAGTGGAAAAGAGGGTCTTCTCGATCGGTGTGGATGTGTTTGAGATGCCGGACTACCACCACCTGCATTCTCTCTCTGTGACGCCCTACTCTGCGCTCGCGTTCTGGGTGTGCGCAATGGCGTGGGAAGGTTGGGCGAATGCGCGTTATCGTTGTAGAGATGAAGCCAGGAGTCTGCTCCTAGGAGGTCGTCGTCGTGTTTGCTCTCGCCGGCTCGCGAGGAAACCGTACTGAGCGAACGGTGCTTCCCGGCGTTTTTATCCCACCGCTTCACGCTGCTGTACGAATGGTTCCGCTGTCGCGTATACGGCACATTGGGTGCGGGCGAGGCGGTCGAGGTAGGCGAGGGCAATGGCTCGCTATCCGCGTGCTCCGAGTGGACTCTCTCGAGGTCGAGGTTGAAGTCGTGCAGGCGGCGGAGGTCGCTGCGGGTTCGAGATCGCGGTTCCGGGCGGTGCGCAGACTCTTCGGAGAGGGTGGAAGAGCGCAGCGACGAGCGCTGGTTGTTGAAATGCGACTCGCGCTTGGTGGGGACATCGTCGTCGTCGAGTGCAGCGTTGGCCATAGCTGCCGTCCTGGTCCCGTTTGTGCATGCAGCTTCGATGTGCAATGACGTGCGGGTCCCAAGATGAGCAGCAGTCACCCGTAACTTTGTAGTGTATAATTTCAGCTCAAGACGCCGTGTGCAACTTGGAGTAACGCGCCATGCTGCTTTCTATGATGCCGGGACAAAAGTGGCGATGCCCGAGAATAAGACAGCACACGTATATCAGCCCTCGTTCGCGTCTCTCCTCCCTCCTGCGCCAAATAAGAAAAGGTCAAATCTCAGTAACCTTTGCTTATGCAAATAATGGGACGAATGGCGCGCGCTTCCTTTTTCTCCGATTGGCAGGGGCTCCCCAGTCTAGCGGCACTGCACCTGCCGAGGCGTGACAAGGTTTCGTGTCACGGAGGCGCCCGACGCCATGGCATCTGTTATCGCCGGCATGTGGGGAGCTAGGCGTGACCACGCGCTTGTCTCATGCACCTTCTTGAATGGACAAGTAGGTGTCAAGTTGAACCAACGACTATATATTCCAGAATACCAAGACCTGCAATACTACTGTATCTTCTCTACGTAATTACACTGCAAATCCACCATGTCTGGCATCAACCTCCCCAAGAACGCCCACGTCTCAACACACCCATGTCTCCAGGCGAAGCTCTCACAGCTCCGATCCGCGAGCACAGGGTCCAAAGATGCGCAGACCCTGGTGCATGAACTCGCTCTCATGGTCGGCTATGAGGCTCTGGCCGCTGGCCTAAAGGCACAACAGGCAGGCACCGTACGTTCACCCAGTCCATCACATTTACATTCACCCGGTCACATCATGTCACAAAGTGGGGTGGTACTTTGTGACATATACATAGAAGGATTCCCATATCCCCAAATCAAAATCACCCAGCCAACAACCATAGCAGCAATGCTATACCATACCATACCACCTGCTAACATGCCGTCTCTAGGACAAATCCCCGCTCGGCTACGAATACACCACAACCACCACCTCCCCCTCACCAACCTCCATATCCCTCGTCCCCATCCTCCGCTCCGGCCTCTCCATGGTCCCCGCGCTCTCCTCCCTGCTCCCCATGCCCGTGCCCGTCCACCACCTCGGTCTCTACCGCGAGAAATCCACCTTACAACCCGTAGAATACTACAATAACCTGCCCTACCACACCCCGCACACAGCTGGCTCGACCAAGCCCCAACCAGAGCTCGCGATTATTGTAGATCCCATCATTGCGACGGGTGCGACGGCACAGGCGGCGATTGACACGCTGAAGGACTGGGGTGTGAAGAGGATTATCGTTGTTGCTATTCTGGCAACCGAAGAGGGGCTGCAGAAGGCGTGCGGGGAGTGGGAGGAGGGCGTTGAGGTGTGGGTTGGTGGCTGTGATAAGGGGGTTGATGAGAAGGGCATGATTAAGCCCGGGCTGGGCGATATTGGCGACAGGCTGTTTTTGACGTTGGGGAAATAAGTAAATAAGGGGATATGAATCATGATTGAATGTGAAATATGAGGCATGTATGTCATCATTTCTATCAGGGTCTGGATAACGTCGTGATCAAGTCGGGATCAAGTGATCTACTCTTAAGGTCAGGCAGGTAGTCATCAGCCCTGTCCCATCTTCAAGGTCTTTGGAAGAACGACATGTCTTTGGTCGTTCTTCCAAAGACCTTGAAGATGGGACAGGGCTGATGACTACCTGACTGTCAATGATTCTGTTGCTCATACCACCGCTCCATCCAGCCATTCGTTCCCGTATACTGACGTATACCATGAATTCGCCAAACCTCCAAACCACAATGTGATCATGTTGGGATCAAGTGTTCTCCTCTCAGGGCGCGCCAGTCGGGGAGAGGGTGAAAAGGCTGCATGTCGGCTCTACTCCAAGAGATCTGGTGGCTATACCACTTCTTCTTCCAGCCCTTAATATCCATACCCTGACATTGCAAAACGATGTATTTGGGGTCGATTTCACGCCCAATATCGAAATTGCAGTGTATAATCCCAATTCCGAGGTTCATGTTGCGTGCTAGTTGCGGAATGTCTTCGTACATATAGCCATCGCGACGTCGCCGATTGAGCCACGAAGGCTCGGGAAGTCCGTCCTCAACGGTGTAGCTCATGTCCAAAGCTATTTGCCAAGCGACATCTCGTTGGAAGACGGTGCGGAAGACGTAGTGAGAGAGATCCGGGTACGGGTCGCCATCGAACAGCAGTGTGAAGGCGCCGGGTGGCATGCCCAGGCAGTTCAAGGCGTTTGCCTCAGTCATCCAGCGCGCGATTACTTTTGTTTCGCACTCAGGGTTTACGCGCCTTCGACGGGATAAGGTACTTGCATGAGCAAAAGGCAGTTGTTGATATCTAGGGTTGTCGAAAGGATACGCAGTCATCCAAAGATCGACGCGTCGTTCAATGCGTAGGCTGGGCATGTCGCGGCAGTAACGGATGAGGCCCCGAACGTGGCACTCTGGATGCGCAATCGACTCCCGGTCTTCTATCAGTTTGATGCTTCGAATATTGCGAATGTGCTTGCGCACCATCGTCGGAGGGTTCTCCAGAAACCTGATCGCAATGGAAGCGGCGGAGTATCTGTAGTTTGCATCTCCGTGGTAAAACCTATGTTCGTTTGCGACCACGCCAGATGATTCCGTAGTCACGCCAGAGAGGTTGCTCAGACGGCTGACCTCCTCTTCGCTCGGTATATTCCATGGCTCAGGACGCAGACCGATCAGTTCGAAGATGTTGCGAAAAACAACGTTTTTGTCTTGTGGAATCCACAAACCGTTTACCCATCTTTCACCTGTCAGAACAAAATCCGGATCCTTCGCTATGGCTTCCAAGGTATGACAGATGAAGTCGCGGTAGATGGACGGTGTTTCACCCCAATCGTGGCCTTCAGATTCCGCAGTGACCTCGATTTTCGATCGCCATCTGGCGAGGATTGGCTTGAACTGTGGGTAACGGGCCGCGATCTCGTCTTCCAGAGCCCCTGTCAAGAACTGGCGAGCCATGAGATCTGCCAGGTGGTCTTTGTAGAGGTCGAGTTTGTGGAGGCCACCATGCCATAGGCCAACATCTTGGCGTGTTTCCTCGGAGAAGGCTGTGTAGAAAATGATGCTTTTGACCTCGCAGACACGCTTCCATAGTTCATCATAGATGGTGCGGCAGGTGTATGCAAGTGGGATGTTGACAGGCTCGCCGTTCGTAGTCATGAAGCTGTGGGTCTTCGGATCGTATACGAAGCCGTCTATGTCTGATACGTATTGTTCGTAGATCATATCCCGAATTTCGCGCGGAAGACCTAGGAGTGCCGATTCAGGATGTGTTCTTGATCCCGCCTGGGGCGTTATTGGAGATGTCTCAGAAGAATGACGCGGATTGTTCGATCTCGGGTCGGGCAGAGCTTCGTTGCTGAACCATGGATTTGACTCAAGAGATAGAGTACGTTGCTGAAGAATCGGGAGCTGCTCCGATGAGACTGCATCAGTCTCTGTCACCCTGATGGTGGGCACCTGAGAAAGAGAGGCGGAACTGTGATCGCTCGTCGTGTCCATCTCGACATAAGAAATCCGATGTAGTCGCGGTGTGAGTTGGTATGTCGAAATGTGCCGCCATTGGGGTTAAGTATTGTCCAAATTGGAGACGCATCGATGAAGAAACGGTGGCCGCCACGTCTCTAAAGACAGGGCACCATGATCCGCACATGGATTTTGGCTGTTGCCTGAAATTTACCCGCTTCTGCATTCCGTTGTTGAAGACCTGGAGGCAACTACCCGTTGAGCGCAAAGTACAATTCCCAGTGGTTCTTACACCCAGGATTGAATGCGCTACCGCACTGCGTGCATTCGCTTCCGCTGGCCATGTATTCGGTCACGGTCAGCACATGCTTGCACTGTCCGCAAAGCACTGCGCCCTCATCTCTTTGTTCAAAGGGCCAAACTCCAGACTTGTGAGACTCGCATGCATCGTGACAGCTGATGCATGCGTAGAACTTCTGGCAGCAGAAATGCTTGATGGCGATGATGTCAAGCGGGGAGTGCCAGTGGGAGCATTGCGTTAGCGGTGTAACCGACAAGCCGTGAACAGTCGGAGAGTCTTGCGTTTCGGATGACATTAGGGTACCGGCAATGGTCGTGTGGTGGAATGCGGTGTTAAGGCCGTGCATGTAAAGGATTTCGGCCGGCTGTGAGGCTGAAAGCTAAGAAGCGCTGCGGGATGATCAAGTGGGTGACCCCACTCTTTCGTCATCGCTTCATCCAGTCGGAAACACCAAGTAGAGTGATGGATACTGTAACCCGTCTTTTTCTCCTCGACACATATATATTTGAAGCATATATCGTTAGATGTAAATGCCGCAATGCAACGGCATGGCTTCCGTAGCTGCCTGGCATCGGGTCTCACAGGATGTATAATGAAACGTCGCGACACTTGCCAATTCGCTGAAGAGATTTCCTATTGGATCACCGTCCCCATTGTTTTTCAGCGATGCTTCGCTCAAGCCCGAGTTTTGCCGGATGCTCTTACTGTACAGCACAGCTCAGAGGCCTCAGACGTCACTAGCCCCGCGTCACCCCACTAAGCTGTAAGAAGTGCTGCTCCTGCTCAACGACAACAACATTCCGTGCCTTCCTCATTCACAATACTCAATCACAATCCCACACCCTTATACCCTAACACAACACCTTTTCACGCAAACACAACCGATCAAACCGCAAACATGGCTCGTCAATTCTTCGTCGGCGGCAACTACAAGATGTGGGTACTTTCACAAGCTGTGAGTGCTTGGAGAAGATGAAGAGAAGCTGACAAGTCTAAAGGAATGGCGACATTCAGACCATCAAGTCGCTCGTCGAGAACCTCAACAAGGCCCAGCTCGACCAGAACACAGGTACGTCGAACCACATTTTCAGCGATCCGAGAAAAGCACAAAACTCCATCACACCATCGAGAGGACGAAAGACTGACACCAGAACCAGAGGTTGTCATCGCACCACCAGCCCTCTACCTCCTCCTCGCACGCGAGCACCTCCGCAAGGGCATCGAGGTCGCGGCGCAAAACGTCTTCGACAAGCCTAACGGTGCCTTCACCGGCGAGATCTCGGCTCAACAACTCAAGGACAGCGGCATCACCTGGGCTATCCTTGGTCACTCCGAGCGTCGCCAGATCCTACAAGAAACTGACGACTTCGTTGCCAGCAAGACAAAGACTGCCATCGACAACGGTCTCAGTGTAATCCTCTGCTGCGGTGAGAGCCTGGAGCAGCGCGAGGCGGGTGAGACCGTCAACGTTGTCACCAAGCAGCTGAAGGCTGTTGCGGACAAGGTCAAGGACTGGAGCAAGATTGTCGTTGCCTACGAGCCCATCTGGTGCGTCAAGCTTATAAAGATAATTTTCATGCTCAATCACTAACGTAGAACAGGGCCATCGGTACCGGCAAGGTCGCAACCACCGAGCAAGCACAAGAAGTCCACGCCGCCCTCCGTGAGTGGCTCAAGAAGGAGGTCTCTGCCGAGGCTGCCGAGAAGACCCGTATCCTGTACGGTGGCAGTGTCTCAGAGAAGAACTGCGCGGAGCTTGCCAAGCAGGCCGACATTGACGGTTTCCTTGTCGGTGGTGCTAGCTTGAAGCCTGCCTTCGTTGACATCATCAACGCCAACCAGGCATGAATGCCTCGAAGCGATGCTCGTCTATAGTTGATTGGAGCGTGCTTCGGCAGCTAATGGTTATGATCTTATGAAATAAAAGAAGACTTGGCTAGGACCTATGTAGATTCAGCAAAATGAACGTGCATGAAGATCATCTGTATGGGCTCTGAAAATTTCGTGATTCTTGTATTCTTGATACATTGTTTGTACAGTGCTTATGCCTTTCCAGCCAGTGTATACCGATCCCGTCTTCTTGGGCATGCCTGAAAAATGTCGGATCTTTCCGCATTGGTGTCACACAAGCAGAGCTTTGGCCGATAGGCCACCACGCCTTGCCCTGGTTCTCGCTGGATATCGTTGCGTATAGTATTCGTCTTCATCTGTCTTCCATTCTTCAGATATTGACTTTGCTGCCGTGGAACGGACTCCAGATGCCCCTGACGTTCTCGTTCAGACTCTTCACTGGTCGTCCATCCAGCCTCCTGTTCTTCTCTCCTGTGCTGTTCCTTAACATCTCCGCCTTCTCCCTTACACCCTCATTTTGCAGGTTCCTCACACATATTGATCGTTGAGCGCCGTTGATGTAGTTTGCGATGATTACGGGGTGGTGGCGTGGCCGCGGGCTGACGGAGATTTCGATCTGAGGGTTGCGCTTGGCGAAGGCGGGGAGAGAGGATTTGAGGAAGGCGTTCATGCCTTTAGACGACCCCCACCAGTTGCAGTAGTGGAAGGTGATGGACTTGCACGGCAGGACAAAGGCTCCTACGCCGTTCTGCGGTCGTAATTAGCATCCAGGATGACAAGTGCAGTGACAAATGAATCAGCAGAAACATACCTGAGCCTTTGCGACCGTCTTGATAGCCGAGAGAGGCATGTTGGCGGGCAATTGCGGTGGTGACGGCGGTGGTTTCACCAGTCTCAAAGTCCAGAGTCGGGCCCGGATCTCACGTGCGGTGGTCGCAGCCTAGGTTTGCGCTAGTGCGAACTCCGCGTCGCAGCTTCCTCGAACGCCCCAACTCCCAAACATCGACTTTCATCGTCGCGCCCTCCACTCCTCATATTCCAACTATTCCACATCGCCGTCTGGAGCGCATTCCAGAAACAAACTCGCCAACATGACGCATCTACTCCCCCCGATGCTGCTGAACCTGTTCGCCCCGCGGCCGCCGCTGCGCTGGGTCGAGCCTTCCGACCACGCGCCTGAGAAGCGCTGCACGCCCAAGATTGGCGGCATTGGCCAGTACATGGAGGCACTGAGGGAGTACAAAGATAACGACGGCTACGTGCCTACCGACAGCTGGCTGCAGAAGCGCGATCGCAAGAAGCTCGAAAAGAAGGAGAAACAGGAGTATCTGCTTACGGAAGGGGTCAAGGATTGTACGACATCACCACGCGCGCTGAACATATCACTTGCGCAATTGTTATTTGCATCACTCACTAACATTATCTAGACAAACCCGTCGAAGATCCCAAAGTACAGGGCGACGCCTTCAAGACGCTGTTCGTTTCTCGCCTATCCTATGGCGTCACCTCCGATGACCTCGAGCGCGAATTCGGCCGCTACGGTCCCATCGAGCGCATTCGGATCGTTGAAGACGTTACCCAACCCGCCGACGCGCCACCCAAGAAGCGAAAGCGCGGTTACGCTTTTATTGTCTTCGAGCGCGAAAAGGACATGAAGGCTGCATACAAGGAGACAGACGGTATCAAGATCAAGGATCGACGCGTACTCGTTGATGTCGAGCGCGGTCGCACAGTCTCTGGATGGCGCCCGCGTCGCTTCGGTGGCGGTCTCGGTGGTCGAGGCTACACCAAGGGCCCGTCTGCTCGCGGGCCAAGCGGAGGAGGCAGCCAATTTGGAGGACCCCCAGCCGGCCCTGGTGGCTTCGGAGCCCGCGGCGGTGGCTTCGGTGGAGGTTTCGGCGGACGAGGTGGTGGCCGTGGCGGCTTTGGCGGCGGATTCGGGGGTGACCGAGGAGGCTTCGGCGGCGGACGAGGAGGTTTCGGTGGCCGCGGTCGGGGTGACTTTGGTGGTGGTCGCGGAGGTATCGGCTACCAGTCCAACGGCTATGGACCTCCCGACGGCGCCCCTGCTGGTCCTCGCGGTCCACGAGGCGGTGGCTTTGGCGGCGACCGAGGAGGCGGAGGTGGATTTGGAGGCGACCGCGGTGGAGGCGGAGGACGATACGAAGACCGACGCGGCGGCGGTGGTGGTGGCTACGACCGAGGATCCAGCGGCGCTAACAACGAACCGCTCGGCAGCAGAGATCGATACCGCGACCGCGACGGTGGGTACGGTGGTGGAGGTCGGGACGACGGCTCAAGGAAGCGCGGCTACGAAGGCGACAGCTACGACGACCGAAGCCAGCGCCGCAGATACTAGGCCCGCTCGATGGCTCACTGTATCTTCTGCAAGGGTTTGTCAAAGGTTACCTCCCCTTTCTTCGCCTCACCCTTTCTCGGCTCTGAGGGTAAGATCGAGTTTGCTCTGCTCTTGACGTTCGACCATTCAACACTGCGTTACAGGTCAGGATGGTAAGGGTTGTCGACATGTCACCTCTAGGCTTTCGATCGGTCATCACGTTCTCGTCGACTAGCACTCCACGTCTCGGTCTCGACTCTTCGGTACGGTAAAGCAAAGGTACAGCGTCATCCTCCAGTCGACTGCGACTACGATCTTCATCACCCCAGGTTTCGCACAGGTTTGGTAGGCCGGAATGGGTAGGGCAAGGTGAACTTTCTTTCGCATGTTTTATTAGCTTTTCTTTCTTTTCGAATTATCCTTCTTGCTCGCGGTTTGCCTGGGTAGGTATTAATGTAAGTTTACAAGCACGATGGTTCCAGTAGTGCAGCGACGTCAAGGTAAGGTTAACAGGTAAGGAGTTTCACTTCCTCGCTTGGTGATCTTACTGTGATGTGTTAGGTATTAAAAAGCACCCTTCTACTTTGCGTAATATGTTCGAGTCCGAGTCTGAGCCTGATGCTCAATGTTCTATAAGAGACTTTCAATATCGACAATTTAGTTGAATGAAAGTCTTACTACACTCTGGCTTTCACTACGGCCTGATTGCCCCCTTTTTGCAATTGGGCGGAGGGTGCACGGACTTGGGGTGGTACCTCTTGGGTGTATTTCCAAGCACCTATATCGGTCTGCTGTTCGCCTTCTTGTTCTGAATCTACTTCTTCCGGAGCACTCAACTCTGTTGTTGTAGTACAGCTCCCTGTGAAACTACATCATGGCACCACTGCGGCGTTCAAATGGTGCTAGCAAGCACAACGATCTTATCCTCAAGCCCAAGGACGCTATCAAGAAGAAGCCCGTGGATTGGGTAAAAGACGACGATGGCGAACTGCAACCAATCTTCGCACCGGAGCCTCTGTTCACACCCGGAGAACTGGAACCCTACAGATCAAATCGGGCACTGTTCGATCACAAAAAAAGCCTGCGCAAGCTCGTAAGTTTACCAGATGATGACATGGAAGTTTCATGCTCATAAGTGCAGGTTGACCTACCGTTCCCCTTCCTCAAGCTTCCAACCGAACTACGCCTCGAGATTTACCGCTACTGCCTGGTCGCATCCAATTCCATCCAGCCTTATGGAAAACACATTTCAGACTGGCGCTTCGACTGTTGTTCCACTTGTCCCGCGAGACTTGCTTTCAGTCTCCTCCGTACATGCAAGAGCATGCACGCTGAGTGCGCGGAGGTGCTTTACGGCGAGAATGAATTCCGCTTCGCCGGCAGGTACCAACACATTCAGCTGCTCAAGTTCCTCACCCATATCGGTCCACGCCATCGTACGTGGTTACGAAACTTGACCACGAGCTCGCCGTTCGTCAGCAGTGGAGACCGGATAATCGAGCATAACGTTGTACTCGAAATCGACTCAACACTAATAGACTCCGATGATTCGTACAGCTGGTTTATCGACTATCCGCAGTCCCCTCCGCTTTTTGAAGCTCAACCACGGGGCATGACCTGGTCCGACTTGTGCAAACCGCTTTTCGACCTCCTCGAATCGCTTCCTCAACTCCGCGTCTTGACTATCGTGCTCCCAGATGACTGGGAATACTGCAACGATGCCGGAAACAGCGAACCCTGGCCCCATACAATGGATTCTAGGGGGCGAGAAGAAATTTGGCATTCTCTGTCTGGCCTTCTGCGTGTCAAGCCTTTCGTCCAAGTTCGGGCTCTGCGGCCCGTGGTGGAGGCCCTTGTGAACGACCCTGATCTCGTGGACGCGCAGCAGAATCATAAGCGACATTTGGCGAATCTGAAGCGTAGACTGGGGATTTGGGATCATCGTGTTGCTTTCTACGATCGGAATTGTGAGTGGAGGATGCCGGACCAGGTGGAAGAAGATGCTGATGAGTATCTTCGCGATTTGCGATGTCTTTTCGCTGAACGGACTGTTTAGTTAGCATCACGAAAACGAAGGTGGATACCTTGAGCGTTTCCCTGCCCAGATTTTCACTGAGTCCAGAGTAGATAGCTGTAAGGTAATAAGGCCGCAATGAACGTTCACGATACAAGCAACCATGTCATCTTGCTTACGAATACGTCCATGAAAAGGTGCAGCATTCGAATAAGGCATGCGAACAGTAATAAATGATCTGTATTGTGTGGCAAAGAGTTGGAGCTTGTCTTCCCCGCGAAGACGGTAGAGCTAACTAACACTGCCGAAGGCCAGCGTGCTGTTGCGATCGTCCAATCAAGCAACAAAACGTTGAGCGTGAAACTTTGACGCATCTGAAGCGTACACACATTCTCGATAGCTTTTTGTTCCGGTGTATCTGAATCAGCGACACCAAAGTGGTTTATTCTTCGGGAAGCCGATGAAGCTTGCCACATAGTGCTTCCGCCGATACTCCTGCCATTCAGTGACCGACTCTCCCTTGAACTGATCGATGATTCTTGCGGGATCGTATGTACCTCCCGGTAAAGCGTCGTAATGTATGAACGAATCGTGACTGCTGATATTCTGCAAAATCTGTGGAAGTGCGTCGTAGTCGGCTGCAGCACACAACCTGCGATCATTCCAGGTAGGGGTGGGTAAGCCTTGGCGCTCGAAGCTCAAGTCTAAAGCGACTTGCCATGCTACGTGTCGCTGTAAGACATCGAAGATCCAACAGACTTGGTCTGGCGCGGATTCGCTGTCTTCGAAAGTTATCTTGAAGGCCCTGCTAGGCATGCCTAGAAAAGGTAATGCCATCGCTTCGACCATCCATTCGGCAACAGTGTTCACTACAGCGCTTGAACACATCATATGTATGCCCCCATGAAACCCCCAAAGTAAATTCCACCACAGATCGACGCGTCGGTGAATCCGCAGTTTCTCGTTCTCCTGACAGAACGGAATCAGACCTCTTACGTGGCATTCTGGATATGCGACAGACTCGCGGTCTTCGATCAAGTCGACTTGTCTGAGTTCAGAGCGTATTGAAGTCGGGAGAGACTTTAAGAACCGGATGGCGCAACTAGCCGCGGAGACAAGACACCTATCCGGTCCCATAATACAGACAGAGCTATCTCCAGCGAATACGATGCCAACGATCTCCCCGAGCACCTCATCATCCGGGTATTGCCAAGGTTCGAGGTGCGGTAATCTTGGCAGACGAGATGACTTGCTGGAGTGCGGGCTATCCTTCAGGACGTGTAAAGCGAAGTTGACGAAGTCGCGATACAGGGAAGGTGGCTCGCCATGACCGTAATTTGTGTGGAACACTGGCATGATCGGGCCGTCATTTCTCCACGCCCGCAGAAGGGGAGCAAATTGAGGATAAACGAGACTGATGAACGCTTCTGACTTGTCTGTCAGGCCAGACCGCGCTATCTCGTCAAGTAAACGGTTCTTGTTCCTGTGCAGCTTTCTTAGAGCAGCGCAAAATAACCCTAGATTGTTGCTTGATTCACTCGGCCTTGCTGTACAGAAAGTAACCGTGTTAAGTCGTAAAGCGAAGCCGTGCAGTTCAGCTGCGGCCTGACGACACGCGTACGTGAGTGATAGATCGATGTGTTCGCCGTCCGCCCGCGTCAGTTTGTTTTTGTCGAAGTTGTATTCCAGGCCCGTATCACAAATGAGGTAATAGCCATAGATCTGATCTCGTAGTTCCCGCGGTAGCCGAAAGAGTGGTGACTGAAGTTGCATATGCGTTGAGCGACTCGGGGAGGCCATGGCCATGGTCGTACAGCGCATGGTTTTGGGTGCCGGTGTCTTGAAGAAAAGCCTCTTGATGCGAGCGATTAGAGGTCCCCAAGGAATCCGAATAACGAAACATCTCTTGATACCAGTGAACAGTGATTTCCTAACGCGAAGAAGGACTCCTCTGAACAATGGGAACACAAATATTATGAAAACAAGGTAAACGAATTCCCTAATGAGAAGTTCCCGGGTAAAGGGGGTCCAAAGCTTCGTTATCAGCGTAGGTAGGTGTCCAGCAATCATCGCTTCGTGAACCGAATGGGTGTAAGTTCCTTGAACGTAATGAGGATAGGTGATTTAAAGCAAGTGGACGTGGCGTCTGCTGCAAATAAGTAGCAAAGGCCGTGGAAGCCCCCCCTTCCGCTTCGAAGACCACAGTTGTGAGCGAGGAAACGACCATTCCGACGAACAGCCCTGGCAAACCGCCATTATCGACTTACCAACCCACCAATGTACACACCCAATAGCATCTCGCGACGACAATTGAAGCTCGAGCGCGAAGCCCGGAAGACGACAGTTGCAAAATCAGTTCTCCACTCGACTGTACCGCATTGGTAATGCGACTGTAGCTGGCTGCTGCCTGAGGGCTCAACTCTGGTAATCGAGATTGTACCAAGGTTACATGCCTTCTCACCGGCCGGCTTGTCGTAGGGTTGCATAGTGAGACCAGAAGCAATGCATATAATGCATGAATCATTGGTCACGCAGAATGCGACGCGTATCTGATGAAGCTTCGTTGGTAGTAGGTAGGTGTCTATTCGCGAAGGCAGCGACAATTAGTACCGAGCCGAGGTGGACGCACTTTACCTTATCAGTACTAGTGTGCATTCGGCACCAGTTGCCTTCCATGCTCGCTGCAGTCACCACATGCATTGTCCGTTGCAACACGTCTCTGATTCAGCGCTGCGCATCCAAACATCATGAACGCCCTCTTGCTTCACATAGTGCTGCCTTCGATTCACCAAAATTGCGCACTCTATCAAGCCGATCCGTCTCGTCGTACGGCACCGAATCACGTCAGGCGCGAGGACCCAGGCAGAGCATGGCTTCGTGTATTAATTAACATTCTTTGTCTAGGGTCGGAGTCGAGCAAAGTCAAAACCCTTGAGCCTGCACACGATTCTTTGCTCCTCTACCCGTACTACGGTACTAACATGAGGCTGCCGTCTTGGCGACCTTGCAACACTGGTAATGTCATTTCGAATCGTTCGAAGTGAGCGAAATATCGCAAGCTGGATGAGCAGAACTCAAATTATGTACGAACTAGAAGTTACAATAAATTCATCGTTGGCTTGTGGTGAGAAGAATTCCACCAGTTCAGAAGTCCTCCATCCCTCGTTCACAACTACATCGTTACACGCAGCCATTTGAGTTCATGCCACGGAGGCAGCGGATGCTCAGTCTGGAAGCTTTGCGGCTGGTGCATGCCCCAATGATCTGCCTATTGCTTGGGCGTCTAACCTCGATGCAGCGCGAGAAGAGTTTCCACATTGTCTGGTTGGCCAACATTAAAATTGCAGCTGATGGGCCTACCTGCACTGGCGGTTGACATGTTGCGTATTGTAGCTGGAAGTCCTTCGTAGTTGTATCTAGCGCGACTTCGCCGCTTATACTAAGTGGGGGTTAGTAAAAGTCCTTGGTTATACGCAGCGTTAAGAGCTGATTGCTAGGCAACGTCTCGCTGTACAATCTGAAAAACGGTAGAGGTGTGTTTGGGTGTAGGATTGCTGTCTAGCAGCATGCTGAATGATTCCTGAGGCATGCTGAGTGACAATAATGCCTGAGCTTCGGCGATCTATGCCTCTACTGCTTTGGTGATTGTTGATGAAAACAGGCGTTCGTCTTTCACAATATCACTGTTTTTGGCAGAGTTACTGAATATAATGTAGTCGACGCGTAGTCTAGGCTGCACTTGGAAACCGCTGCTCTATAGATTTACGATACGCTGGACGCGGAGACGGCGATTAAATTGATATAGAGGAATGAATCCTCTTCTGTGGGACGCTGCATTTGAGCCTGATTCGCAGTTTTTGTGGAGTATTACGTTCCGCACTCCTTTGCGGCACGAAGACGGAAGGTTGTGAAGAAAGTGTAGGGCTACAGACGCCGCTGAGTAGCGATATTCCAATCGAGCGAAATACGTCGGTGCTTTGGGTTCGGCGTCCAGGATCTTGGCGAGGCGGTCAAGTTCGGAGGGGTTTGGTATGAGCCAAGGTTCTGGAGAGGTCTCGCCCAGAACTGGGATGTTGCAGGGAATCTCCGAGATTCAGTGTCCGGGCGTCAATTCGGCTTCATCGTGAAATGTGGAGTGCTTCGACAGTAAATTGAACACAAAGCCGATGAAATCGTCCCACGTTGATGGAGCTTCTCCGCAATCGAAATCCTGCTTGTACAGCGCGGCAATGTTCTGGTGCGGAGTCCAACCGTGAAAGATGTGGGCGAATTGCGGGAATGCGTCGGTTGCCCTTTGCACCATATCGTAAGAGAGAAGCCGAGGTATGAGCCTTCGTAGCAGCACCTTCTTGCGGTATACTAAATTATGCATTACTCCATTGAATAGACCGGCTTGCTGTCGCGAGGACTCGGAGAAATGGGTATAGAAGGTGATGGTATTTTGCCCGAGCGCAAGCCCTCGCAATTCGGCTGCAATCTGGCGGCATGTAAGAGCGAGCGCGGTGGAGATGGGAGAACCGTCGGCTTGTAGAAGTCGGTTCGTCTGAAGAACTAAGGGTCAGCGCGTGCATGAAGTCCAGCCCATCGTCGTTCCCATACCTCGAAGTTGTGGATGTATCCATCCTCGACCTGAACATAATGCTCGTAAATGAGGTCTCTCAGCTCGCGTGGAAGGCGCAGTATTGCCGGCAGTGAGGATGCATTATCGTTCATATGTTCGAAATGAGAGCCGGCGAGCCCAGGTGTGTCGGAGTGGTTAATGGATTGAACTGGCTTCATAGTGAAGGTTCTGTGGCGGTTGGTAGCAGAAAAACGAGGGACAGAACGGTGTTCTTGTAGCTGGAATTGAGGCCACGTAGGATTGCAGAAGAGCTCATCTGGTCAAGCTACGGTGGTCAACCAGAGACCGTGATGATATGTAACCGTGGCCTCCCAATTTTGCACAGCTGCGACAATTCGAAGGCCTCGGTTGGGCCATGATGCGCCATTGCTAGTCGTTGCGTGTACCAGGCATAGGTCGCTCGTCTAGGCAGCAAAAATTG